ACAACAAATACATATCTATCAACAAGTGAATCTAAAAATCAAGTGAATAAAAAATCTGATGAACAGAATAAACTGGTGAATATAATAGAATCAGGGGCATAGAAAGGGAGTGGACTGACAATTCTTGGGGGGAAGGGAGTGTGGGGGATGCGGGAGAGATTGGTCAACAATCTTACACCTATGGATGAGGACAGTGGGGGGTGGGGTAAGGGCGGAGGGTGGGGTGGGAACTGGGTGGAGGGGAGCTATGGGGGGAAAAAAGAGGAACAACTGTAATAATCTGAACAATAAAGATTTAATTAAAAAAATAAAAAAAGAATTTTCCCCTTATATATGTTTTTATTGATTTTTAGAAAGAGGAAGGGAGAGGGATACATCAATGAGAGAGAAACATCATGGATCAGCTGCCTCCTGCACGCCCACTATTGGGATCAAGCCCGCAACCTGGGTGTGTGCCCAGACTGAGAATTGAACCAGCGACTTCCTAGTGCATGGGTCGAGGTCACCCAAAGGTACTTCTAACATACCAAAATATTTTTTTTAATCTTTTTGTTAATCCTCACCCGAGGATATTTTTCCATTGATTTTTAGAGAGAGTGGAAGGGAGGGGGAGAGAGAGAGAGAGAGAGAAACATCGATGCCTGAAACCGAGGTATGTGCCCTTGACCAGAATTGAACCCGTGACCATTTAGTCTATGGGCCTATGCTCAATCCACTGAGCCAAACTGGCTAGGGCCATATAAAAATATTTTAAAAATCTACTTGTAGTCATTTAAAAAACTGTCATAGAAACACACAAACACAATGTTGCCTTGTGTAAGCAAAACTGGGAAAAATATGCTCTTAGTTTACATTACAATTTCTGATATATTTTATCAATTGTAAATAATACACAAGTATTATTTATTACTGAACTGTAATATATGGCACATATAAGGGTTTAATTAGGAAGGTTACAGCTCTGCATTTGTCTTTCTAAAATTTAGGCTTGACCATTTCTGCTCACATAAAATAGAACATATTACATCATACCTGTGGAACATTAAACACCAGCTTACACTTAGCAATATCAGCTTGATACATTACTACTCTCAAAGCTAATGGTAAAGTTTTTGTTTCAAAGTTGTAACAAACAGTATCTAACAACTGCTTACTTTAAATAACATGAGGAAAGATGAATCAAAGACAAAATCACTTGAAAATCAACTTTGCAAAGAAAATACCAGGTTACCATTCTACGTAGGCCTGTAGAATAATATCTATGTTTCATTCTTTATAGTATATATATTCATATAAAACAGAGACTGGCCATTGATAGAGATCAATGAATACATTCTTAAGTTAAAAATTACATATTTTAATATAATAAAAATTGTTTATATTACCTGTTCATAATTTAAACGTTGAATTTCTGAAATTTCTTTTGGCTTTGCATCAAGCATGTAATCTCCTGTAAAAAGAAATTGTGAAATTGCCTTTAAAAAAGATTAGATTTAAATTTTAAATTAGAGCAATAAGTGACATATAAAATTAATTTCTAAAATAAAGGTAATTGCACTCAGTAAGTAAATCTGCCTCAATCACTTAGATGACAGAACAATTTTGCTATTGTTTGTTTTTTTTCTTTTTTAATCCTCACCTGAGGATATGTCCATTGATTTTAGAGAGAGAGGAAGAGAAACATCAAAGTAAGAGAGAAACATCAATCAGCCCCCACACCCTGGATGCACCCCTGGATGCACACCCTGGATGCACCCCAACCATGGATCAAACCCAATGCCACAACCTAGTTATGTGCCCTGACCGGGAATTGAACCCGCAACCCTTCAGTTTCTGGGACAACTCTCCAACCAAGCCACACTGGCCAGGATAGTCTCATATATTTTTTTCAATTACATACTCTAATGCTTTTGAGCTTTCTCTTTCTTCCAGTTTATAATATATTTGAGCATCTTTCCATGTTGCTACAATAAAGCTCTAAATGGCTGTACCAAGTTTCACTGTTATTAATAACATAACTATTACCCCATTACCTTTCCAAGAATGGGTGTTATCAGTCTTCTAAATGTTTGCGCCATTCTGAGAAGTAAACAAAAATTTTTTGCATTTAAAAAATTGATATATTTTATATATGTATTTTTATTTGGTATCACCTATTTAATATATATATGACTTTTGGTATATGTGGCACCTTTTAAATATATGTAGCTCCATTTTAACATCTGCAGTGCCTTATCTATGTTTTGTCTTTTTAATTATGTATTAACTATATATACTCCTTTTCTTTTAATTGCCTGCCTACACAAGTATTATTTATTACTGAACTGTAAAAGCTCTTTTTCAATTAGAGAAATTAGAACATTTATTATTATACATGTGGTAAAAATTTCCCCCCCCATATTGGCTTCTAACTTTATGGTTATGCTTTTTTATCTATTTTTTGTGTGATACAGAAATATTTAATTTTAATATAGTCAAATTCTTCTTGGTTGGATGTCATGTGTAGAAAGATCTTCAAATCTTAAAAGTATAAAAACATCCCTGGCCAGTGTGGCTCAGTTGGTTGGAGAAGTCATCCCATACACCAGAGGATGGTGGGTTTGATTCCCAGTCAGGGCACATAACCAGGTTGTGCATGTGAGGATGGCAGTCGATGGATGTTTCTCACATCAATGTTTCTCTCTCTCTCTCTCTCCCCTACTTCCTCTCTCTAAAATCAACTTTTAAAAAATATAGAAACATTCACATATGCCTTCTTCATATAACTTTGTTTATCTTTTTTAATGTTTAAATCTTTAATTTACCTGGTATTTATTTTGATATAAACAGTTATATATAACACCAGCTTCTCACCTAGCCTCCCAAATCACTAACAAGTTGATGAAATTTTTTATAATACAACCTTTATTTTCTAATTCAAAATAAACTTCTAAAGACTGCATCAAGTATTCTCTTAAGCTTTCCAACTCTGCTAAAAAAAACTCCTACGAACATTAATATATTATTTGTAGTTTTTTCCCCAAAATATATTTTATTGATTTAAGAGAAGAAGGGAGAGGGATAGGTAAAGCATCAATGATGAGAAAGAATCATCAATCGGCTGCCTCCTGCACACCCCCACCAGGGATTAAGCCCATAACCTGGGCATGTACTCTGACTAGGAATCGAACTGTGACCTCCTGGTTCATAGGTCAATACTCAACCACTGAGCTACAATGGCCATGCTATTATTTGTACTTTTAATTAGAACTTAGGATAGGAAAATCTAGGTGGGTTTGGGGTAGAAGGGGTCAATGGGAAAAAGGGGGACATCTATCTATAATAATAAAAGTGTAATATGCTAATTAGACTGGACAGCTGAACGACCTTTAGGACCTCATTCTGGATGTCCTTCTGGACAAAGCCGTGGGGGCAGGGACTGAGGCAGATGCTGTTAGGGGCAATGAGGCAGGCAGGTGAGCAGTTGGGGGCAATCAGGCAGGCAGGCAGAGGGGTTGGGGGCGATGAGGCAGGCAGGCGAGCAGTTAGGAGCCAGCAGTCCCGGATTGTGAGAAGGAGGTCGGACTGAACTGGCAGTCGGACATCCCCCGAGGGGTCCCGGATTGTGAGAGGGTGCAGGCTGGGCTGAGGGTCCTCCCTCCCCCTGTGCACGAATTTCGTGCACCGGGCTTCTAGTATTTTCAATAATAGATGTTTAAAAAAACAAAATAAATAAAAAGATAGCAAAATCTAGGAAAGATTTTATTCTGCATAGATACAAGAACTCCAAAAGCACTAAACAAATTGATTTTCAGAGATATATAAGCAAGTCTATGTAACAAATATTTCTGAGTCCATATAATATATGGCACACATACATATATATTTGAGAACATAATTGCTATACTTGTATCCTATATTTCATTTGATAGAAGAATCAGATATTTTTATTTATTATTATTGTTATTTTTATTGATTTCAGAGAGGAAGGGAAAGGGAGAGAAAGGTAGAAACATCAAATGATGAGAGAGAATCATTGATCGGCTGACTCCTGCACGCCCCTACTGGGGATTGAGCCTGCAACCCGGGCATGTGCCCGTGATCGGAATTGAACCCAGGACCTTTTAGTCCACAGGCCGATGCTCTATCCTCTGAGCTAAATGGGCTAGGGTGAAGAATCAGATATTTTTAAAAGGCAGAGTTTGACACTGTCTGGTTGCTCAGTGGTTAGAGCATTGGCCTGCACACTGAAGGGTCTGGTCAAAGGCATGTACATGGGTTGTGGGTTTACTCCCTGCCCCTGGTCAGGGCATGTGTTGCAGGCAGCCAGTAGCAACCAGTCTCTCTCACATCGATGTTTCCCCCCCCTCTCTCTTCCCCTCCCTCCCTCCCTTCACTCTCTCTGAAAAGAAATGGAAAAAATATCTTCCAGGTGAGGATTAACAAAATAAAACAAAACAAAAAAAGGCAGAGTTTGAGTTTTTAAGGGAACATCTTTCAGTTTTAGATACCTAAATAAATCTTCTCAAGAGTGCTATTTTGTCTAGCTTTTCTAACCTTTATCATCTGAAACTGGTCAACAATATTATTTGAGTCAATAACTATTTATTCAGCTCTTCCCGAAAGCAGCCAGAGGTGACCTCTGAAAATAGTTTGCTATTTACTTGACCCAGAAAGCCCTACAAAATCATGCACATCAAGATGTTCAAATGTTCATGTTCACTTTAAGAACACTGTGAAACTGCCCAGGCCATCAAGGGTATGCATATTCAAAAAGCCACCAAGTATTTAAAGGATGTCACTTTACAGAAGCAATGCGTGCCATTCCGTCATTACAATGGTGGAGTTGATAGATGTGCCCAGACCAAACAGTGGGGTTGGACACAGGGTTGGTGGCCCAAAAAGAGTGTTGAATTTTTGCTGCACATGCTTAAAAATGCAGAGAGCAATGCTGACTTAATGGGTTAGATGTATATTCTCTGGTCATTGAACACATTCAGGTGCACAAAATTCCCAAGATGCAACATAGAATTTACAGAGCTCATGGGTGGATTAACCCATACTTCAGCTCTCTCTACCACATTGAGATGATCCTTACTGAAAAAGAGCAGACTGTTCCCAAAACAGAAAAGGAGGTTGCACAGAAGAAAAAGATATCCCAGCAGAAACAAAAATTTATGGCCCCAGCCCTGGCCTGTGTGCTGTGTGGCTCAGTTGGTTGAACTGTCCCAGGCACTGAGAGGTCACCAATTTGATTCCTGTTGCTGGCACTTGCCCTGGTTACAGGCTGAATCCCCGGTAGGGGGCATACAGGAGGCAGCCAATCGATGTTTCTTTCTCTCTCTCAATAAAAAAACATATTAAAAAAAAGAAAAAAAAGAAAAGAAAACCAAACCTATGGCCCAGGAATAGATTCAGCATAAAATAAATACAAATAAAGTAAAAAAAAAAAAGCAAAGAAAGCAAAACTATTTATTGAGAATCTACTATATGTCTAGTAATGGGTAAAAACAAATATTAGGAAATACATGGTTCTCTTTAAAAACAATAATTTGCCCTAGCTGGTTTGGCTCAGTGGATAGAGTGTCAGTCTGTGGACTGAAGGGTCCCGGGTTCGATTCCAGTCAAGGGCACATACCTGGGTTGTGGGCTCGATCCCTAGTAGGGGGTGTGCAGGAGGCAGCCGATCAATGATTCTCAACATTGATGCTTCTACCTCTCTCTCCCTCTCACTTCCTCTCTAAAATCAATAAAAATATATTTAAAAAAACACACACAAAACACCCCAAAACAATAATTTGGTTGGGCAAACAACATACAGGGAACAGAATAAGATAATGATAAAGTATAATATAGTTAAAATGTAGTAAGTGCCACCTTATGTTAGTCTAATCATCACACAAACTATTTCAGATGAGTAAAGTTACAACATAAATTCCAATTTGCATTATACTTTTTTATACATTATCTTTCTATCCATTTTCTACTTTCCACCTACACTTCTTCCTCACCTTATTTTATTAGACCTCCTAGCATTTCCTGGATAGTCTAGCTTGTCTTGTTCTTTTCTTTATGCCAAAGCTCTCCAACAAGCCTTGTCCATGTATGGCCCTGCTCTACTATTCTAGTAAGAAATTTCCAAATTAAAATTCACTCCTCATCTAACCTATGCCAATCAAAATTCCCATTCCCTTGTGGTTTCTCAGCTAGGTGCTAGAAAAGCAATTAATGGTTTCTCTTATAATCTTTCTACAAGTGTTTGCTTATTAACTCAAAAGTGTCTCTGGTTTCTCTAAAGAACTGGAGTAATCTCAAGAGGAAAAAAAATCAAATAGTTTAGAAAATTAAACAATTTTCCCTAGCAGGATTGGCCCTGAATAAAGTTTACTTTTGGTGAGGCAAATTCTTCAGAATCTCTTTTCTCATACCACTCTTGCTCACTTTTCCCCCACCTCCCATTAGGATATTGCTTTCACGCTGCTCTTAGTTGCTGATTCCCCCTCACCCAAAACTTTCAAATACCCCAGATCTAGATATTTCTTCATTAATGTTTCTTTTTCCCTATTAAAAATTTCTACCCTATGACCTGTTTCCTCAAAGCTTTGCTAGCTAACATTTAAGTGATATTAATATTCCAAATGACCTCCCTGCTTTTACCACTCTCTACTTGCTTTTGTCTGCATACTTTCTGAGACAAAATGAGCTCTGTTACATTCCTATTGGCTGTATATGAGGATTTCCAGTTTTCTCTTGTACTCACTCCAAGCCTGTTTTCATCCCATGCACTTACATGTCAAGGTTATCAATCGCCTCCTTATGGCTCAGTCAATGGTCAAATTTTAAGTCCTCTTCTTGCTAGAACTACTCGCAGCATTTGATCCAGCTAATATCTCACTCTTCATTGAAGGTTTGCGGGCTAACACTCTAACTACTGAGCAAACCGGCCAGGGCCCTAAGTTCTATTTCAACATCACAGCCAGATAATTCTTATTAAACTCAAAGTCCTATCATGTCATTTCTCTATTCAAAATTCTCTAATGGCTTCCCAGCTTACTCCCAGCTAAAGTCAACATTGTTATAATAGTCTACAGAGCCCTAAATGACCCGACCCTATTATTTTTCTCTCATTTCCTACTACCTCCCCTTTACACACTACTTGGCAGTCATACTGGCTGCTCAAAAGCATCAAACATATTTTAGCCTCCCCCTTAAATATAATTTAGAAATCACAAAATCTAAGAATCACTAAGCTAAACTAAAAGAGGTATAGATATTTTATTTCTAGATATCTAGGTATTCAAAGTAATCTACCCTTATCTATGATGTTCTCTAGCCAGTAAATATCCTATATAATAAAAGGCTAATATGCAAATTGACCAAATGGCAAAATGACCAGTCGCTATGATGCACACTGACCACCAGGGGGCAGGATGCTCAACGCAGGAGCTGCCCCCTGGTGGTGAGTGCACTCCCACAGGGGGAGCGCTGCTCGTCCAGAAGGCGGACTCATGGCGATGGCAGGAGCCTCTCTCACCTCTGCAGCAGCGCTAAGGACCCCTCGGGGAATGTGCGACTCCCGGCTTAGGCCTGCTCCTAAGCCAGCAGTCAGACATCCCCCCAAGGGGTCCTGGACTGCAAGAGGGCGCAGGCTGGGCTGAGGGACCCCCCAGGGCCTCTAGTAATGAAATAATATTACTTACACAAAGAAAAGGGTCTTCCAAAAGCTGTAATCTCAATTACTTCACTAACCCTACATCTCACAAAAAACCAGTTAGCTAGTTTTCTGGAATGACAAAGACAAAGTAATCAGCTGACAATTTTTTAAAAAAATAAAAATTTAATTACTAAAAAAATTGTGAGAATATGGATTAAGATTTCAATTTGGTAATAGTATCCTATATAATAAAAGGCTAATATGCAAATCGACCAAATGGTGGAACAACCAGTCGCTATGACCCACACTGACCACTAGGGGGCAGATGCTCAACGCAGGAGCTGTCCCCTAATGGTCAGAGTGCTCCCACAGGGGGAGCATTGCTCAGCCAGAAGCCGGGCTCACAGCTGGTGAGTGCAGCTGTGGTGGCGGGAGCCTCTCCCGCCTCCGTGGCAGTCAGACATCCCCCAAGAGCTGCCAGGCAGCGAGAGGGTGCAGGCCGGGATGAGAGACCCCTCCCCCACTGAGTGCATGAATTTTGTGCACCGGGCCTCTACTAAATATATAAACTTTTCTTTGTTAAACCAGAAAATATCTCAGTGTGATATACAACTACCTACTCTGTAAACAAGTTCTACTCAATGCAGCTGGTCTGTAAACTGTGTATTGATGGTCTGTTTTGAAATAAGAGGCTTGCATTAAGAATGCAATTCAATACACTACTTCCTTCACCAAGAAAATTTTGCTATGAAAAAGTTTCAGATGAGCTAAACAGTGTGCTTACTCCTGTAAATGTTTTACATACTGGCACAAGCCCCTATCTCACTGCATACTAATAGCTAACATTTCATAAACTGGCACAGGTCCATGAATAATACTTTGGGTATCACTGCTCTAAATCACCTCCTGGGTCTTTATTCAAGGCTAATCAGTATTTTTTATTTTTATTTTTGTATATTTTTATTGATTTCAGAGAGGAAGGGAGAGGAGAAAGAGATAGAAACATCAATGATGTGAGAGAATCATTGATCGGCTGCCTCCCACATGCCCCCTACTGGGGACCGAGCCACAACCTGGGCATATGCCCTTAATCCTTCAGTCCACAGGCCAATGCTCTATCCACTGAGCCAAACCAGCTAGGGCGTAATCAGTATTTTTTTAAAAACAGTTTCTATATGCAATATCAGAGTTTTTGTGCTACTTCTCATTGTGCAACTTATTGGAATTAATATACATCTTGTGTTTTCTAAATGTTTGTCAGTCTCATAAATATTATAGAATTTTAATCCTGGTCAGAAAGAAGGCTTTAACATCCAAAAAGAATGACATACTGATAAAAAAAATTCTAATTAAGAGATTAAAAATTATAATTTTAAAATAGATTATATAATAGCACTTCTGGAACATGAGATTTTATAACATTTTTATATGTTTTTATTTTATTTACTAGAGGCCCGGGGCACAAAAATTTGTGCACTCGGGGGGGGGGGGGGGGGG